CCTGTTGTCTAAGGAGGCCTTGGGGGGGGGGGGGGGGCGGTGACTGCTGCTTGTTATAAAATGCCTCCTGTCATTTCCACTCCTGAGCGTGACTTTCACCTTCTCCAAACTGAGTCGGGAAGGGAAGGTCTGGTCTTAGAGGGACCGGATAACACTTCGCTGTGCGAACAGGAGGTACTGGGGAGGGGTGGCTACGTGTAAAGCATCCCTCCCTGCTGACCTCACGCGCTTTCAAAATAGATGCGTTGGCACTCACTTAGAGTGAGCCTGCTGCCAGAGAGAACCTCTAAGACTCGGATGTGGAAATGGTCGTGCCATTAAAACCCTTCTGAATCTCCCTGGCTTTCCAGCCAGGCCTCCTGAGTCAGAAAAGAAGCCACAAAGAGAATGTGTCATGTGTTCCTGGGCTTATTTGAGTCAAGTCCACCGCCACCGGCTGCCCCGGGACCGGGGGGCTGCAGGGGCAGGAGCGGCGGCAGTGCCCCCAGGGTCCGGAGCTGCCGTGGGCCCGGGAGCTCGCACACTCGGTGCTGCCCGCAGCGGTCCTCCGGGCAGATGCCCGGGCGTTGTTGGTACACGGGCTTTGCCGCGCTTCTGTTTTCTGATCATGGAGGCGATACGGATTCAGTTAGAGACTTGAGACAACAGGTAGTAGGGGCCAACCTTATTTCACACCTGCTGTGCAGTTAATATCGTGTTATCTTCTTTAAAGTGAATTAAACCCATCTCCAAGGGTCCTTGGCGCGTGGGGCTCGGGAGTGTCCTGTCCGGGCCAGAGCATTTCCTGTGGGGACTCCTGCCATCAGGCTGCGTGAGGCTCTCGCTCCTCCGCCTGGTGCTCGGGGGCCCGCCCTGGCTGGGCGCCCGGGCAGCGCTCCGAGTCCGTCCCCGGCCCGCCCCGAGACCCGCTGCTTACGCCTGGCCCCACGGCTCTCCCCGAGCCACGGCACGCGGAGAGCCCTCCGGCCCTCCATGTGGGGGGAAGGAGAACTGCAAAAAACAGAACTCAAGTTAGAATTTTCATAAAGCAACTTGCCGCAAAGAGAAAAATCCAAAGAAGAAAAAACCCGCCGTCTGGAAATAATGATAGTTTGGGGATATACTTGTCTTTTTTTTTTTTTCCGGTCTTCTCCAGTGCACGTCATAAGATCTTCTGTTGTTCTTAGAAGCCCTCCCCCAATCAGTAGGTCTCTCACTGTATTGAGATGGAGCATTTTGCTTTTGCACCTGGGTACATTTCAGTATTGTTCAGTATTTTTGGATTTGTTTTCTGTTCGGCCGAAAATGTTTGAGGATCCCAAGGGCAGCGTTTTCTGGTGGATAAGTCTCCTCTGTCCTTGGCTTCTTGGGCCCACCCCCCCACTGTGAGTGCTTTCTGACCTTCCGCACCCCTCCCTCCTCCTGGCCCTGGCTGCCCCTCTGCCTTCTCCGCTCTGCTCTCCGAGGACTGGGGGCTGGCCGTCTCCGTCTGTTCCACGAGAGGCTGCCCGCTAGCTGAGGACTTGGTGAGGCTCTGGTGGGGTGGGCAGCACAGCAGGGGAAGCCTGAGAGGGGTCTGGTAAGTCCCCCAGCACCTGCCGTGGGGGAAATGATGGGACCGGAGTGCTGTGGTCATCCCCGCGGAGCACGCGGCACTTCCCCGTTTGCTCCACCAGGTGGCAGCACAGGACCTCTCCGCAGAGAGCGCACCTGAAACCAGGAAGGAAGTCAGGCCGGTGCACCCACCGGGGCTCTCTCCCTCGCCAGTCTCAGGATGACGCGCTGTTGAGAAAGCGCCCGTTCCTCATCAGCACGTGTCTCAGACTCTTGGAGAGGGGGCAGAGGAGGTCGGCAAAGGGGTGCCTTCTGGAGTCAACGAGTTGATTTAGGCCTTGGAATGCGTTGAAGCTAATCTGCGCACGCACATTTCAGCCCCCACTGAACAATGGGTCCATTAGTGACACTTCCCGAGCCAGGGCAGCCTGCCCCCGAGGCTGGAGTCTGCCCCGCGCAGACGCATGGAGACAGCACACCCCCCTCTCAGCCCCCTCCCGACCCCCCACCCCACCCCGGCAGGGCAGGGGAGCTGGAGGGAGCCCTGGCCGGCTGAGCGCTGGGGCCGCGGCACAGCGGGTGACCCTCTGCTCCTCAGCCCGCCCCGGCTGAGGTCGAGCCCGTCCTAGAGGCAGCTGGCGAAGTGAAGACCGCGGCAGTGGTGTCTCCTCCTGGGTTTGGAGCCCTTTGCTGCACGGAACCTGCTCGCAGGCTCCTTATCCCACTGACTCATTGCATGACCTTGACACTGACCTGGGCTTAAGACTCGGCGTCAGTGCAGTCCCGGCCTACGGGCTGCAGGCGGGGCTGCAGGCGGGGGCGACGGCACGTGCCCGGGCTGCGCGCGGCTGCCGGGGGTGCGCTCGGCGTCGGTTGACTTCTCGGTGCCTGGGGTCCTGCTGACGGAGCCCGGGGGGAGGCGTTGAGGAAGGAGGAGGCTGCCCACGGCCCCTGCGCTCTGTCCTGGTCTCTGTGTCACACTCTGGCTTCCGTCGGGTCCTGTCACCTAGAGCACCGCCACGCTGTGCCCTCCGAGAGGAGGCGTCGCTGCACAGACACCGGCTGTGGCGTCACTGTGCTCGCTTGTCGGGGTCTCCCCCTCCCCCCGACCGCCCTGGAGCCTGTGTCCCTGTCTGCGAACCCTCTGGGGCCACCGCCTGGGAGGGCGGGCTCGGCAGTGTCCACCGTGCGCTGGGGTCGCTGTTCTGCTCCCGACGACCTGTTTCCCCGTGTTTCTGAGCAAAACTGAAAGGTAGTATTCTGAGGAATTTTACCCGGCACATGAGCGGTCTTCGAAAGCACCTGAGCGAAGGGCGACAGGCTGGTGGGAGGGCTCACAGAGGAACGCCTCCCTCCGGGGTGACGGTGGCCTGGAGCGCTCACCAGCCGCTCAGAGCCGTTCTCCTAGGACAGCCTACCAGCCTTCTCCGCTGCCGGCGCCTGTGCCGACGGTGCCCAAGTGGAGGTGCGGTAGCCAGCTGGCACCTTGGCCCGGCTCCGGGCAGCGGTGCCTAGGTGGGCCAGCAGCCGCTGCGCTCCTCATGGCCGCCTGCCGGCAGGGCGTGGAGAGGGCTCGTTTCAGCAGTGGCCTTGACGACACAGTGAAAATTGTGCCTCTTTCTCTGATGCTTTTTATTACTTATTTAAAGTAATTTTCTTACAGGGAGGTGCACAGCCCGCTTACAGGGAGGTACTCGAGCCTGGGGCTTCCACGGACTGGAAGCGCTAAGGTTGAGGCTGAGCTGGAGCGACTGGTGCCGCCTGGGCTTGGCCACCCCCCTGGTTGCCTCCACGCCCCTGCTGACTCGGCAGTCCCCCCGCCCCCACCCCCCGCAGCAGGGCAGGGAGAGCAGGAGGAAAGAGTGTTGGGCGGACAGGGACGTTTTTAAGCCTCGAGGCTTTCCTTACACCAGAGGATTGTTTTGGAAATCTTTCACCCGTTAAGTGGCAGCTGTGGGCCTTTGGTCTGTGTGCCCCATAAATCACGTAGGATTAACTCCTCAGGACGGAGCGCGAGCGTTCTGAGCCGCGGTCCCTCCTCCCCCTGCGCTGCCAGTGGACCACAGAGCTGCCAGCCGCCTTTCTCTGAGCGCAGAGTGGGGGCGGGGAGAGCCGGTCCTCGGAGGGACTCGGACTGGGTCCGAGTGCTGGCCTCTCCGTTTGTGAGCTCTGTGACCTTCGTGGTTCACTGAACCTCGCCGGGCCTGAGCCCGTGGTCACCTGTGAGGCGGAGGCGGTAGTGCCCTCCCTTGGAGAGGCGTCGTGCGGTTACACAGATGCAGCGTGGACAGTGGGTGGCCAGTGCCTGGCGCGTGCCCGGCGCTCAGTGGGGGCGAGGGCCCGTGCAGCTGTTCATCGCATTGCCGCGGCTCCAGGGCTGGGGGCGGGGGGGGGGGGGCACGGATGGTCTGTCTTCTTGCCAGCCCCCTCGGCCGCTCTCTGGCTTCAAGGAGAGGCGGATGTCTAGACAGGGGCCGGCACCTTCTCTTGGGAGTGCCTTTGCTCTTCCGCTGCTGGGTCGGAGGGAGGACTGACTGTTAGGCATTCGAAAGGGCTGAGCGCTTTCTGCCCCAGTGTGTGCCCACTCGAGGTGGGGTACACTTCCTCTCAGAGGACACGGGGTCCCGTTCCCGTCAGGAGGAAGCACGGGCCCAAACCTGGGTCCTGGCCATCGTTCCCAGAGCGAATGGGAGGAGGAGGGAGCCCGCAGCAAGAGCTCCTGAAGCAGGTGTGCGTGGCCCCGCCCCCCGCTCTCCTTCCCCCCTTCCCCACTCCCTGGGAGGTTTTCCAAAGTCCTCAGGACTGGGGGCGGCCCACGCATCGTGCTGGATGAAGCTGTCCCTGAGGACGAGCCATCGCCAGGGAGGAACCCTCCTCCCGACGAGGACGCCGACGCCCGAGGAGAAGCGCCCGGCCAGGCCTGGCGCCTGAGCTGTGACAGCGCGGGGGTGGGAGCTGGGCCCTGCCGGCTCCGCTCCGAGGCACTCTCCCCACGCCAGTGCTCTCCCCACGTCGGCTGCTGCTCCTGGCGGGGTCGGAGAGAGCCAGCCCAGTGTTCTGAAGTCCAGGGAAAGCTGTTTTGGAAGAAAACGGGGAGGATGCGGACCCCCCGCTGCAGGCTGGCTCGCCTGTCGCAAGCGTGCGGGGGCACTGTGTCCGGGAGAGCCCGGGCGCCCTGGCGGTCCCCAGTCACCGCCTGTTCTGGTCCACGCCCCAGAGCCGGGGTTTCTGCCGGAGGTGGCAGCTGCCAGGACACAGTGCAGGCCCCGTTGGGTTGGGGTTAGGACAAGGTAACCCCGACAGAGTCCTGAAACTGTAACATCAGCCGTTCATCAGGCGCTTACCCCGGGCTCCCTAGCACCCTAGCAGTAGGCGCCCTTACTCCCGTTGCACAGATAACGAAACTGAGACTCAAGACAGGTCAGGGGACTCACCCAAGGTCACGTGGCCAGGAAGCCGCAGAGGGGAGCTGGAGCCCGGGGTGCGCGGGGGTGCGGGCCTGCACCGTCACCCCTGCCGCTGCCGCCTACTGCGGTAAGGAAGCTCCCCCCCCCGCCCTCGCTGCCTCGCCCGGGACTCATCCCGAGGCCCGCAGTCTCGTGAGCGGTTGTCCTGCGTGTGACTGGACCTGTCGTCTGTCGCCACTGGTGGGCTTGGGAACAGCCGTGAGCTCCGCTCTGCGGTGGCTGCACGTCTTAGAGACGGCACCGGCCATTCCCCAGGTGCGTTAGTGAGTCCCGGCACGCACGCGTCCTGGGCCGGAAGGGCATCGCTGCCCGTGCCGACGATTCCTCGCGGGCACCGGTGTGGGTGTGCGGGCCCTCGCTGGGGGCGTGGCCTGCCCCGCGGCAGTGTCTCACGGTCGGCCTGGAGGGGACGTGGTGGTGCGAGTGGCACCAGGGAAAGGACAGCTCCTTCCACTGCCCCCCACCGCTCCCGTGGTCAGACCCCTCTGCTGTCTCCCAGCCGCCCTCCCCACCCTGCTCTCCTGCCCTGTGACCCGGAGAGGGCCCCTCGGGCTTCACCCAAAGAGTTCTCTCTGGTCCACGCTTCACCGCCTTGTCCCTGCACCGTCCCAGCAGACCAACAGGGCGGGGTCAGCCTTGCTCCCTGCCCCGTCCACTGAGAAGAACCAGCCCTCCCCTTTCCCGAGGGGACCTCCGCACATCTGAGGGTTTCGACCTCGGTCGGGCTCTTACTTTGCTTCTCTCCATCCTCTCTGCAGAGAGGTGGTTCTGAAACTCAGGTGTGATGGTGGCACCGCCCCGCTTCGGGCTCTCCGGGGTCCCGGGGCCCGTGACGGCAGCAGGGCGGCCAGCTGCTGTGGCTTCCCGCCTTCCTCTCAGCCCGGCCCAGGCCCTGGCCTCCCCGGCCTCTTCGTGGTGCGGCCCCATAGGGCCGCGCTCGCCCCTGGTGCGTGATGCCGGCTCACCTCTGAGCCTCCGCGCCTGCTCCTCCCGAGCGTTCTGTCCACTGGGTCTCCCCATCCATGCTCCCCCCACCCCAGCCCCACTCAGGCCTGCGCTCAGGCACCGCCGCCTCCGGGAGCCTGCCCTCTCCCCGGGGCCCGGGGCCCGGGGCCGGGTGGGGAGCGTCTCGTGCGCAGCCTTGCAGTCATGCGCATCTCCTCACGGCGCCTTGAAACCGGGAAGTGAAAACGTGACGCCTCCCTGTGGGGCGGACGGGGCCTGGCGAGCCCTCGAGCCTGGTGAGGCGTCTCGTCAGTCGGGAGTCCGTCCGGCAAGCAAAGCGCAGAGGGGACTCGGAGCAGCATTTTTACTGTTTCAGCGGTCCGGGTGTTAGTGCTGTTCTCCTCAGTTCTTCTGAGCAAAGAGGGGAGTTGAGTGTTTGTGTTTAAGGATTATTGTGCTTGTCGAGGGGCCCGTGGGCCCCCAGGCTGGCTGCGTGGGTGGGCAGAGTGTGGTGTCCGTGGCTGTCCTGTCGGCCACTGACGCTGGCGGGGGCGGGAGCCACGCACGGACACGTGAGTGAGGCGTTAAAACCCTGGAAACTCTGTCACCCTGCACGTCTCGGCGTCCCCACCTCATTCCCAGCACCCCCCACCCCCACCCCCGGACGAGGAGGAGCACCTGTTCCGGCCGCGTGCTCCCCGAGCATCTGCGTGCACTCGGTGTCACAGGAAGCGGTGCGCAGCTCAGGGTTGGGGCGGCCTCCTGGGGAGCGGCAGCCTCGCTGGGGCCAAGGCCACGGCCGCCATGGTCCCTGCTGCATCCGGGGCCTGGCCCAGGGTCAGGGCGAGTGGAAAGTGGCCGAGAACCAGAGAGATTTAATTTAAAAAACCACAGGTCTGTAAGAAACATTGTGTGTTAGGCGGCAGCCCTTGCCGGTCTGCGTGTGTCAGTGGAGCTCCTTCACATGCGTGGGAACCCACGGCCCTGCCGTCCAGACGTGGGCACACCAGCCTCCCCGTCCGGGGAGCCGGATTCCCTGGGAAGGTTTGCTGGTCTTCCCGTCGCTGCGTTTGGTTTCTCAGGAGAGACCCAGACGGACACTGTTGGTTGGTGATCGTCTTGAAAATTATTCAGGGTTCAAGGGGTTTCCTTTGGAGTCCCAGGCTGGCTCGCCCCCCACTGACCACGAGGCGGCGAGGGCAGAGGCAGGCGGAGCCCCCACCTCCCGTGGGCCCGTTCTTCAGTGGAGCCGGCAGCTGAGTGCCGGTGAGCGGGGTTGACCTGCCGCCTGCGGGAAGGCTGGTGGTGGGCGAAAGGGTCGCTCATCGGGGAGGGAGCCTGGCTGCCCTCTGCGGGCGTCAGTATTCCATGACCCTAGGCAGTGGCAGGAAGTGAGCTGTCCTGGCCCCTGACTTGGAACGGCCGTGATGGCAGGACAGAGCCAGAGAGGTTGTATCTAAAGGGCTGGCAGTGAAAATGGAAGTGAAATCGGAATTTGCAAGCTGCACCCGTGTTCGTTGCCTTTGCGCCCTGAAGCAGTGGGAGGTTCCCCCGATGGGACTCAGACCCCCTCCCCCCCCGACCAGTCCTGGTGGGCACCACAGCCGTGCGGCCAGAGGCAGAGCGGACACGCTCCGCGATGGCTTCTGCAGGGCTGGGCAGCCCCGACGTGCCGCGACTGCTGGTGTCTGGGGTGTCGCCACGCTCCCGCGTGGGCAGTGGAAACCACCTGAACCCAGCACGGCGGAGCTGTGCAGGTTTGCCCGTGACCTGGAACCGGAACCCCGCCCTGCCACACCCTCAGCCCCTGACTCTTCCTGGGGACCGGGGGGCCTGCCGGGGGCGTGCGTTTCCAAAGTGCAGGTGTGCCCGGGCGGTGCCCGCAGGTTGGACTCGGCCCCCGACTGAGGGGAGCCCGATGCCGCACGCTTCCACGCCGAGAGGCGCTGATGAGCCGTTGTCTCGTCCTTTCCCCCCCAGCTGCGGTTAACTTGGCCAAGCTGAAACTCTTCCGGCACTATTACGTCTTGGTGAGTAGAGCAGTCCCGCGTCTGTGGGTGGGGGCCGGTGGGAGCGGAGACGGGCGCCCTGGGGCCGCGTGGGCCCCCTCCTCGGAGCCGCACTGTGCCTTGGGTGTGGGGGTTCGCTGTGGGAGCGGCTGCTTTTCACAGCTCGCTCGAGATTTGGCGTTCCGTCCTCAGAGGAGCGGTCCCTGCTCGATGTGCTCCAAAGCAGTGCTGCAGGCGCACAGAGAGCCCCTGACGCCCTGGCTTCCTCCTCCTGCCCTTGGTCGCCACTGCCAGCGGTTCGGTGCTGGCTTCTCCGGACTCTCTTCCAGGCCTAGATGCTCCTTGGCTTTTTTTAAATTCATTTACAGCCCTGGCTGTCGTACCTCAGTGGATTGAGCACGGCCCTGTGAACCAAAGGGCCGCCAGTTCGATTCCCAGTCAGGGCACATGCCTGCGTTGCGGGTTAGGTCCCCAGTAAGGGGCGCATGAGAGGCAACCACTGATGTTTCTCTTTTTCTTTTCCCCTTGCTCTAAAAATAAATAAAGTCTTTAAAAGGCAATAAAATTTATTTATAAAAATGAGGTCACCCTTTGAAACAGGACTGGTATAAACATGAAAAGGTCATACAAACATTAAGCACCAAAGGCGGGACGTATTAAAAATTATTAAGCACATGATTTTTTGGAATATTTAAGGTGTAGGTCCTCTAGAGTTTCTGGGTCATTTTCCATCTGTGCTTCTGGCATTGACTTTCACTTGGACGTTTTTTCCTGCAAGTCCGGCCACCTGGGCCTGCGCCCGCTGAGCAGGCCCCACTCGAGTGGCCAGCCTGCCGAGTCCTCAGCGTGTGCCCCCTTGCTGGGGTCCTCGGTGTCACTGGTGCTTCCTCTGGGCGGACCGTGAACGCGCCAGCGCCTGCCGAAGGCACGGAACGGCGGTGTCCCCCTGCAAGGCCTGTTCCGCCACAGGGCCCGGAAGGCGTGCCTCCAGCCTGGGGGTTAGAAATGCTGCCCTTCAGGGGCTGAGAGCGGCGGGTTGTGTGTGTGGGCAGGCCAGGGGAGGGTCCCTCCTGCGGCAAGAGCCACCTCGCCAGCACGGTTCGTCCCCCCACGGGTGTGGTCATCACCTACGGAGCAGGGAGAAGCCCTTTAAAGTGTCGCTGGCAGAGAAGCCGTCTCTCTGCCAGGTTTGTTGTTAGCACTGTGAGCGTCAAGGGGTTGTCTCCCAGTTCGTTAACTTGAAAGCAGATTGCTGGAAGAAAGTGGGGCCAAGTCTCTGTGCTGACTTCCCCCCTGCTTCCTCGTCCCCGCGCAGATCGTGTGCTACATCTACTTCACCAGGATCATCGCCTTCTTCCTCAAGTTCGCCGTCCCGTTCCAGTGGAAGTGGCTGTACCAGGTGCGTGCCCGCGGCCGGCAGGGCCAGGGGCTGGCGTCTCGGGGCTGTTACGCTGTGCCTGGTGGCCGCTGGGGGGCCTCCTGTCTCTCCGGCCTGCAGTGAAGATTCTCTGTCCGGGAAGCTCCTGGATGGCCTGAGAAATCTGGAAGTAATTGCATTGCCGATTTCAGTGTTGAGTTTGGAAAGTCTGTGAAGAGGACAGCCTTGGGCAGGGAGAGGAAGGTGCACCCTGTGTAATTAAGACCCAGCCGGGACGGGTCTTCTCCGTCCACACGGGGTCGAGGGCAGCTGGGAGCCCGGGCCGGCCCGCGGCTGGGGCGCCGCGAGGGAGGCGGAGACTTCTCCTTGCAGTGCGCGCCTCAGCCCCTCGGGAGGCTCGGGCGGGAGGCTCGGGCGTACCGTGACCCTTAAGGGACCGTGTGCAGACGCCCGGGAGGCAAGGGGTCTTCGATGCCGTCTCAGGGAGGAGGCCCCCTCCCTCGCTGGGGCTCAGCGCACCCCCAGGCCAAGGGCTCTGCAGCACTCAGCCCTGGGGTTGGAGGAGTGGCCGTGGAGCGTGGGCGGCCGGGGCGGGGTGCTCCCCTGCCTGGTGCCACTGCCCTCGGAGGACGAGTGGGCTCATCGGGGTGTTTTCCGTCCGCAGCTCCTGGACGAGACGGCCACGCTGGTGTTCTTTGTCCTCACCGGGTACAAGTTCCGCCCCGCCTCGGATAACCCCTACCTGCAGCTCTCTCAGGAAGAAGACGACGTGGAGATGGAATCTGTGTAAGAACCTCCTTTCCGTCCTCGGCCCCGTGCGCACCCAAGAGCGGCGCGGCGGCGTGAATCGCAGCCGCCCCCCCACCTGCTGTTGCCGTGGGGGCGGGGCCTCTGTTCCAGCGGAAGGGGGCGGACAACGCTCCCCGCGCCTCGGGGCCAGAGCTCGGGGGTGTGCGGGGCCGTCCACCACCACGGAGGTCAGGCCAGCCCTCCTCCCAGTGGCAGGGCCCGCGCACGTGGTCATCGAATCCTCTGTGTCTGCTGCAGTCAGGGTCAGATGCCCTCCGTCGTCAGACCGCTGAGCGTCGCCTCACGGCTGGCTCAGCGCCTCGCCCTACATCCGGGCGTGGGGACAGCCGCTCTGAGTCCCAGGGTGAGGGGTCTGGGGCCTGTTCGCTGGGAAGGGGCGGTCGTTTGCTGGGGAAGCGAACTGTGGTGAGACCGTCTTGCGTGTCAACATGCGCGGTGATGGGCCCGGTCGGCTGTAGGTTTGGTGATCAGCCTGGGGCTGGGTGTCAGATGCCCCTCCAGCAGGGCGGGTGCCTGGTTTTCCAGCCGAGAGGCTGAGCCCCGCCCCTGTGGGGCCATCAGGCAGGCCGGGCAGCGCGGCCAGCGCTCTGTGCTCGGCTTCGCTGTGAGAACGGTGGACAGAAGGCCAGTCCTGCTGCTGGGCTCCAGGCAGCCCCTCCCCGTGCCGGGGAGGGAGGGCCTCCTTACAGATGGCGGAGGGTCCAGGGGCCGGCAGGAGCACCGGCCGGTGTGCCTTTTCCGGGAGGCGCGGAGGCTGAGCAAGGGGCCGCGGGCTGGAGGGGCACCAGCGAGAGTCAGCCTGGCGAGAAGCGGCGTCCGGAAGGAGCCTGCGGTCTGGTGTCCCAGTCCCTGCTGGAGCCTCCAGCTGTCCCCCACCCGTGACGGCAGGGTGTCTCTGGGGCGGGCGGAGAGGGGCCCGACGGCCGCGGCACGGCGCCGTCTGCTGGCTGAGGTGTG